AGTAAGGCCACTGCACCAGAGCGGCAGAAGATGGTAGTGCAGGAAGTACGCCATCAGGAGGAGGCTGCAAGGTGGGCCAAGGCAGTCTCTCTTGCCAAACAGGGACAGTGGACTCGATTGGGACAGTGTGGAGAAGAGGAAGATCAGCTGGAAGGATCTGTGGGCCACGGAAGCGAGGCGGTTGAGCTTTTCCATCAGAGCAACATATGACGTCCTTCCAACACCAGTTAATCTTCACCAATGGTATGGTGAAGATCCGAACTGTGCCCTCTGTTCCATGCCAGCCAACCTCAGGCACATTCTCACAGGGTGTAAAACAAGCCTCACCCAAGGACGCTACACTTGGCGTCACAACCAAGTCCTTAAAAACCTTACGTCCGCCCTGGAGGACAAGCGAGCTGCCACCAACTCCCTACCACCCCCAGCAACATCACACCCCTTATGGACGACCTTTGTCCACGAAGGGGCTAAACCACCGAAGAGGGGCTCTACACCAATAGAGCGAGACCAGCTGCGCTTGGCCCGCGACTGTAAAATGCTAGCTGACATTGGCCGGCAAATTGTGTTTCCTCCGGAGATCGCAACCACCACCCTAAGACCTGACGTGGTGCTCTGGTCCCGTTCGCTCAAGAAGGTCTTCATCATTGAGCTCACAGTACCCTGGGAGGACTCAGTAGATGAGGCTTATGAGCAAAAACATCCGCGCTATGCCGATCTAGCTGCCGAAGCACGGCATCATGGCTGGAACACAGAAGTCCGACCAGTGGAGGTGGGCTGCAGAGGTTTTGTGGCAACATCTACAACCAGACTGCTTAGAGACCTGGGAATTTAGGGCCAGAGCCAGCGTTCGGCAATCAGAGCTGTATCGGAGGCGGCAGAAGGCAGCAGTCAATGTCTCTGGATGAAGAGGAAAGACCCCAGCTGGGCCCCAAAGTGAGAGGGCCAGGAGGTATGCAGTCAACAATGCTTGACTCAGGGAGGAGGACGCCCCAGCCATGCATAGTCCCATGGGATGTTGGCTATCAACAACAAGGCAACTCCTATGCCTACACACAGTATCATTCACACATACACACGCATACTCACACACACTCTCTCATTCAGTCCTTCCGCCCCGCTGCATAGCTCTTTTACAGAAGCGACCCCTGGCAATCATCGCAAATGCAAGCAGCTATACTAAGTCAGGGTCGGGAAGGAACCCACGACCTCCTGTATACCAGGCGAGGTAGTTAACATCTCCTAGACACATGCAAACTCCAAATACACAGCAGGCATCAGGGTCGGGATCGAACCCACGACCTCCTGTATACCAGGCGAGGTAGTTAACATCTCGTCACATGCAAACTCCAAATACACAGCAGGTATCATCAGGGTCGGGATCGAACCCACGAACTCCTGTATACCAGGCGAGGTAGTTAACATCTCTTAGCCACATGTAAACTCCACATAGACAGCAGGCGTCAGGGTCGGGGTCGATCCCACGACCTCCTGTATACCAGGCGAGGTAGTTAACATCTCCTATCCACATGCAAACTCCAAATACACAGCAGGCGTCAGGGTCGGGGTCGATCCCACGACCTCCTGTATACCAGGCGAGGTAGTTAACATCTCCTAGCCACATGCAAACTCCACATATACAGCAGGCAGCGTCAGGGTCGGAATCGAACCCACGACCTCCTGCATACCAGGCGAGGTAGTTAACATCTCCTAGCCACATGCAAACTCCAAATACACAGCAGGCGTCAGGGTCGGGGTCGATCCCACGACCTCCTGTATACCAAGCGAGGTAGTTAACATCTCCTTGCCACATGCAAACTCCAAATATACAGCAGCAGGCATCGTCAGGGTCGGGATCGATCCCACGACCTCCTGTATACCAAGCGAGGTAGTTAACATATCCTTGCCACATGCAAACTCCAAATATACAGCAGCAGGCATCGTCAGGGTCGGGATCGATCCCACGACCTCCTGTATACCAGGCGAGGTAGTTAACATCTCCTAGCCACATGCAAACTCCACATATACAGCAGGCAGCGTCAGGGTCGGAATCGAACCCACGACCTCCTGTATACCAAGCGAGGTAGTTAACATCTCCTTGCCACATGCAAACTCCAAATATACAGCAGCAGGCATCGTCAGGGTCGGGATCGATCCCACGACCTCCTGTATACCAGACGAGGTAGTTAACATCTCCTTGCCACATGCAAACTCCAAATATACAGCAGCAGGCATCGTCAGGGTCGGGATCGATCCCACGACCTCCTGTATACCAGACGAGGTAGTTAACATCTCCTTGCCACATGCAAACTCCAAATATACAGCAGCAGGCATCGTCAGGGTCGGGATCGATCCCACGACCTCCTGTATACCAGACGAGGTAGTTAACATCTCCTTGCCACATGCAAACTCCAAATATACAGCAGCAGGCATCGTCAGGGTCGGGATCGATCCCACGACCTCCTGTATACCAGACGAGGTAGTTAACATCTCCGAGCCACCGTGATGCCCGACACAAACAACCGTGGGTTGAAGGTGAAGCCGGGTCCACTTCCGAGCAATCAGTTGCATGCAACTTGTTTGCTTATACGCGAGCGTCTCTGCAACCGGTTGCACCAACCCATTGCAAAAGGCGTGTCCACGTCCGGATAATCAGTTGCATGCACACGAGCTTGCTTGGTGTGATGCCATCGTCAACAATTGAACGAGCTATGCAGGTCGTCTTACTGGTAGAAACCCACTGGTTCCACCAGCCCACAGGAGATTATTGTGTCCGTCCGTCGTGAAGGGAGGGGCTGGGTGGGCAGGGAGGGGCTGGGTGGGGAGGAGCTGTGTGGGGAGGGGCTGGGTGGGGAGGGTGGGGAGGGGCTGGGTGGGGAGAGGCTGGGTGGGGAGGGTGGGGAGGGGCTGGGTGGGGAGAGGCTGGGTGGGGAGGGTGGGGAGGGGCTGGGTGGGGAGGGTGGGGAGAGGCTGGGTGGGGAGAGTGGGGAGGGGCTGGGTGGGGTGGGGCTGGGTGGGGTGGGGCTGGTCACCCCGTGGTGCCCTTATAAAACTCAACGTTTAACCTACTCACGCCGGCTTGTGCCCGCCCTCACAGTCGGCCATATTTGCGGAATACACCACGCCGCCGTTGACCCTGCAGGCCATTGACCGAGCAACCCAACGTTCCTACCAGCTCCCTCCGCAGGAATGTGTTATAAATGATGGCATTGTCGGCCCAATCAACGTTGAGTGTTTTACGTGCGTGCGTGCGAGGGGGAAACGCTCTATTCCGTGCAGACGGAACAGGCGCGGTCCACACTTTACTGTACCGCCTCCTCCTGGCAGAGCCAGGGGTAACTACGGCTGCTGCTGTTAGACACCCCCACCCACGGGTGAGAAGGGAGTGAGATGGAACAGATGGAGATTAGTTCACGCACTCTGCTGTACCGCTTGGCAGAGCCAGGGGGTAGAAGGCTCCTCTCGACTCGATACCCACAGGAATGGAGGAGTGCAACATCTGTGCGTGCCTGTGGTTAACAGGCAGCCACAGACCTTCGGCATAGCCACCACCAACAACACCAACACCACCAACACCAACACCACCACCACCAACACCACCACCACCACCAACACCAGCACCACCAACACCAGCACCACCAACACCACCACCACCAACAACACCACCACCAACACCAGCACAACCAACACCACCAACACCAACACCACCAACACCACCACCACCACCAACACCACCAACACCAACACTACCACCAACACCACCAACACCACCAACACCACCACCAACACCACCAACAACACCACCAACACCACCACCAACACCACCAACAACACCACCACCACCAACACCACCACCACCAACACCACCAACACCAATACCACCATCACCAATACCACCACCAACACCAACACCACCAACATCACCACCACTACCAACACCAACACCACCAACACCACCACCACTATGATCCATGAACCCGGTGAGGCAAGCCAAGTCAATGCTAATCGTCAGGTGCTTTTATTGGTAATACTTGATGCGTGTACAGTAGTTATTCGTGTAAATATTTAATACACAAGGCAATTATATATATATAAAAACGATTTTAAACCAAAAAAAGTAGAGTTTTTTTTTCCCCTCCCCCCTTCCTTAAAAAAATACTACGAATATATAATTAATACTGTGCTGTGTGTAGTATATAGAGAGAGGGAGAGGGGGAGAAAGAGTGGCCATTGTGCTGCCCGGGTGCGACATATAACCACGTGGGGTCGCTACTACAGCAGCGGACGGCACGGCGATCAGCCCTCTCAGACCTCCTCCTCCTCCCACTCCTCCTCCAACCTGATGTCCCTCCTCTCACTCCTCCTCCCACTCCTCATCCCTCTCCTCCTCCTCCTCCCACTCCTCCTCCTCCTCCCACTCCTCCTCCAACCTGATGTCCTACTCCAACTCCTCCTCCCACTCCTCATCCCTCTCCTCCTCCTCCTCCCACTCCCCCTCCTCCCACTCATCCTCCCACTCCTCCTCCTTCCACTCCTCCTTCCACTCCCCCTCCCACTCCTCCTCCTCCCACTCCTCCTCCCACTCCCACTCCTCCTCCCTCTCCCGTCCTCCCACTCCTCCTCCCTGATGTCCTCCTCCTTCTCCTCCCACTCCTCCTCCCTGATGTCCTCCTCCCACTCCTCCTCCTCCCACTCCTCCTCCTCCCACTCCTCCTCCAACCTGATGTCCTCCTCCCACTCCTCCGCCCACTCCCACTCCTCCCCCTCCCTCTCCCGTCCTCCCACTCCTCCTCCCCCTCCCTCTCCCGTCCTCCCACTCCTCCTCCCTGATGTCCTCCTCCTTCTCCTCCCACTCCTCCTCCAACCTGATGTCCTCCTCCCACTCCTCCTCCCACTCCTCCTCCTCCCACTCCCTCTCCTCCTCCTCCCACTCCTCCCTGATGTCCTCCTCCTTCTCCTCTCACTCCTCTTCCTCCCACTCCCCCCACTCCTCCTCCCACTCCTACTCCCACTACTCATCCCACTCTCCTCCTCCCACTCCTCCTCCCAGGATCCCCACGTGAGTGCCACTCCGCGCCCTTCACTGTGCTGCAGTGCCGACGCGTTTTCCCGCCCCCCACCAACCCGAACGCTTCCCGAAATGTGCGTCACAGAAAGACGTCCTCGTCACAAGGAGGCGTCATCGACGGCACGTTTACCCCCCCCCCCCTCTCATCGCGAACGTTTTAGAATATTTAAAACGCTCTAGTAATAAAAAAAATGTTTTAACCAAAAAAAATACGAAAATGTCTTGAGAAAATCATGTTTTTAAAATAATATATTGTGACTTTAAAAAAAGTAATGAATTAGAAAAGACATTTTTTTTAATCATGTAATTTTTTTTATATTTTGATATAAAAAATTCATGACTAAAAATCATGATACATTTTTTTTAATACCATGATTTAAAGGCATTATTTAAAAAAAAAATGTTTAAAAAAATACCATAATTACAAATTATTTTAAAAATCATGATTTTTAAAAGTCACGTGTAAAAAAAATGTACTTCAAAACTGATATTTTAAAAAAATCACCTTTTTTAAACATGATTTTTCATGTAAAAAAATCATGTTTACGGAAACGCTATTTTTTTAAACATTCTATAAAATATAATACATACGTTATATTTTTAAAACATGATTTTTAAAAAAAATTTGAAGCGAACGTTTTAAACATTATTTTAAAAAACCAAGTGACTTTAAAAAAAAAATTTTTTTTACCGTTTTGCCGATGGAACATCCCGCCTTAAATAGTCCACATCGGCCGCTTGACTCTGCCGGAGCCCACGACGATTTCCCCCGTTAGTGCACAAACCGGCGAACGGCGTCGAAAAAACTTTTTCCGTTGCAAATACAAAAAGACAAAAATAAATCTAAATCCCGACCTCCCTCCCCCCCCCCCCGCCGGCAATATCCAACATCCAAGCAAAGGAGACTCCAACGAAGCCACCGAACCCATACGTAGTCACGGCGGTGGTCCTTCAGTAGGTGGGGCGGGGGGAGATGGTGCTGCTGCTGATGCCGTGCGGTCTAGCCTAGGGGCACCCCCAATGGCAGCTGGCCCTGTGCCTTGCAAGGCGATCGTTACGCAGAGAAGGGTTATGGGTTGGGGGGGGGGCTAGGCCGGGTTGGGGGGGCGAGGCCCGCTTGACATTTAAAACCACCGCCGCCACCACCACCGCCACCATCACCGCCACCATCCTTCTCCCGCACCTCCGATTAGCACGGTCGGCTACATCCGGTGCGAAAGAAGTCCACCACATGTACACGCGCGCGCGCGTACATCGTAACAACAATAATACTGCTGCTGCTGCTGCTGCTGCGTCAAGACGGGCGCGCCGGGATTCATCGCCGGTTCAGCCCGAACCAGCGCCGCGTCACACAAAGTCGGCGCGACCATCCACGTCGAAGTCGCGTGGCGCGCCGGTCGAGCGGAGGCCGGGGGGCACCGCACGTGCCGCCCCCCCCCTTGGCCTGCGCCCCCCCGCCGGCTCCCGTGCCGGTTCACCGGCACCGGCAGCCACCACCGGCGCTGTGCCACCACCGCCGCCGCCGCACGGCCGGCTCACGGTGAGCTCGCACGGCCGTCCCCTCGGCACCGACGTCGAATCGGCGGTGGGCGGGCACCGCACCAGCGTGGAGCGGAAGGTGCCGGAGGGCACCGGGGACGCGGCGGCGTCACCGGCAGCGGCGGCGTCCCGGCGAGCGCACGGCTCCTCTAGCGTTGCCGCGGCGACACTGGCGGCGCGTCGTTCCGCCGGCGGGGCACCGGCGACGCCGGCGCGGTTGTGCCGGGCGTCCGCCAGGTTGATCCGCGACAGCTTCACCTGCACCACCCGCACCGGGGTGAACGGCTCCTCCGTACCGCCGTCACCGCCGCCGGCGCCGTTGCCGCCCACCTCGCGCCGCACCACCACCAAGCAGCCACCGCCAACACCGGCGCCCGGCCTCGACGACGGCGCCGCCGCCGCCGGGGTTTGCCGGAGCGCCGGCTGCACGGCCACGGCAAGCGGCGCCGGCGCGGGCTCCTCCACGGAGCCGCCGCCACGACGGGGAAACGTGTCCGGAGATCCGGCGCTGCTCGCAGAGGAGGGGGAGGTGGACGTGGAGGCGCCGGCGGCGGCGGGAGACGCGGCATCGAGGTGGCACGCCGGTGCCACGTCCGGCGCCGGCGGCGTCGTTGACGTCGCACTCTCGCCCTGCACCTCGGCGGCGGCGGTGTTGGCGTCGTTGGCGTCGTTGGCGTCCTTGGCGTCCGCGCCGGGCGCCGGCGAAGGCGCCGGTGAGGGCGCTAGCGAGGGCCAGTGAGAGATGAGCAGCTGCACGACGCGCGCCTGGCTCGGGTAGTCGGCCAGTGAGGAGAGGGGGCCGCTGCAGGGAGCCCCCCCCCACGAGGGCGGCGACGCCATCGCGAGGGGGGGTCGCGACCTCATCAGCGTCGGCCCAAATACGATGCCCAGGTTCCCGGCCGACATCTTGTTCTCTTTCTCACAGCGGGACACCCTGGGGGGGGGCAGGGGGGGTCACGTGGGGGGGGGGGGGGGCAGGGGGGGTCACGTGGGGTGGGGCAGGGGGGGTCACGTGGGTAGCAGTGACAAGGGGGGAGTGGGGGGAGGGGGGTCACGTGGGGGGGGCACGTGGGTCGCAGAGAGTGACAAGGGGGGAGTGGGGGGAGGGGGTCACGTGGGGGGGGGCAGGGGAATAGGGGGGGGTGGGCACGTGGGTAGCAGAGAGTGACAAGGGGGGAGTGGGGGGAGGGGGGTCACGTGGGGGGGGGGCAGGGGGGGGCACGTGGGTAGCAGAGAGTGACAAGGGGGGAGTGGGGGGAGGAGGTCACGTGGGGGGGGGGGGGCAGGGGGAATGGTGGCGTTCCGTTACAGCCAACATTTAACTTTTCAAGTCCCATCGCTGAGCGTACCTCGGCAGACACCGCAGACCGTACACTCTCTTCCACTGGTATGGGCAACTGTGTACACACCCACCTCCGATTAGCTGCGTTCGGTGCGGAATAAGTTCAACGTACTCGTGGATACATACCCACTCGCCACTTGGAGGAACCATGAACTCAGTCGCTCGCCCAGCCGCTTGCCGAATCACTCACCCACCGATCCACTCACCTCTCTTACCCACTCACTCGCTCGACCACTCGCCACCTTGCTCACCCACTCGCTCAACCACTCGCCCACTTGCTCATCCACTCGCTCGACCACTCACCCCCTTGCTCAACCACTCACCCCCTTTCTCACGCACTCTCTCTTAACCACTCGCCCCCTTTCTCACCCACTCGCTCGACCACTCACCCCCTTTCTTACTCGCTCGCTCAACCACTCACCCCCTTGCTCACCCACTCACTCAACCACTCTATCCCTTCCTCACCCTCTCGCTACCTTGCTCACCCATTCGCTCAACCACTCACCCTCTTGCTCACCCCCTCGCTCGACCACTCACCCCCTTGCTCACCCCCTCACCCCCTTTCTCACCCACTCGCACGACCACTCACCCCCTTGCTCACCCACTCGCTCAACACTCACCCCCTTGCTCAACCACTCACCCCCTTGCTCACCCACTCGCTCAACAACTCGCCCACTTGCTCATCCACTCGCTCGACCACTCCCCCCCTTGCTCACCCCCTCGCTCACCCCCTTGCTCACCCCCTTGCTCATCCACTCGTTCACCCACTCGCCCCCTTGCTCACCCACTCGCCCCCTCGCTCACCCTCTCGCTACCTTGCTCACCCACTCGCTCAACCACTCACCCCTTGCTCACCCACTTGCTCAACCACTGAACCCCTTGCTCACCTCCTCGCTCAACCACTCACCACCTTACTCACCCACTCGCTCGACCACTCACCCCCTTTCTCACCCACTCGCTCAATCACTCACCCCCTTTCTCACCCACTCGCTCAACCATTCACCCCTTTACTCACCCACTCGTTCACCCACTCACCCCTGTACTCACCCACTCACTCGACCACTCACCCCCTTACTCACCCACTCACTCAACCACTCACCCCCTCGTTCACCCACTCACCCCCTTTCTCACCCACTCGCTTAACCACTCGCCCACTCGCTCAACCACTCAACCCCTTTCTTACCCATTCGCTCCCTCGCAGCACTCACCCCCGTCGCTCACCCACCCGCACCCACCCGCCCCCACCCCTCCCCCCCACCAACTCACCGGTGCAGGTGGGCAATGATGTATTCCAGGGTGGAGCGGTTAGGCTCCGGTAAGCGCGCCAGCAGCGCTTTCAGCTGCCCTGCGATGCCGCCGCCGTTACCGCCGCTGCCACCGCCGCTCTCTGACGACAGCGCCGGCGGTGACGCCGAGAGCGGTGACGGAGGAGGAGGTGGAGAGTCGCGGCCCAAGGAGCCGTCGGGCGCCAGCGGCCCCGGCGAGGCGGGCCCGTCCCGCGCCAGCCGGATGAAGCGGTGGTACAGCTCGCCCGGGATGATGGGCTCCGGCAGCTGGGGACGCAATGTGAGCGGCGGGTCCTCGCTTAGAGGGTACGGTGGTGGCGGCGGTGGTGGCGGCGGTGGTGGTGGCGGTGGTGGTGGTCGTAATGGGGGTGGTGGTGGTGATGGTGGCGGTGGTGGTGGTGGCGATGGCCGTGGTGGTGGCGGTCGTAATGGGGGTGGTGGTGGTGATGGGGGTGGTGGCGGTGGTGGTGGTGGTGGTGATGGGGGTGGTGATGGTGGTGATGACATGATGGGGGCGGTGATGGGGGTGGTGGTGATGGGGGTGGTGGTGGTGATGGGGGTGATGGTGGTGGCGGTGGCGGCGGTGGCGGCGGCGGCGGCGGTGGTGGTGGTGGTGGCCGTGGTGGTGGTGATGGCGGTGGTGGCGGTGATGATGGAGGAGGTGGTGGCAACGTGGCAGTGGTAGTAGTGGTGGTGATCCTGGTAATCACGGTGGCAGTGAAGAGGACGCTGATGATGATGATGCTGGTGCTGACGATAGCACTGCATCTTTGCGTCTGTGCATCTTTGACTTTGTCTGTGTGTCTGTGTGGTAGTGTAGCGGTTAGCGCGCTGCGCTACGAACCCGGCGACACGGGTTCGATTCCCGCTCACGGCCAATATCAGTGGCGATTATCTGAACCGGTCTTTGGGCCTCCCCTAAGTGGCCTCAGCCTGATGCACACACAGCGTTGGTGTACGGTGTTTTTTCCCGCAATATTTTGCTGTCTTTTCTTGGATTTTCTGTTTGCACTCAGTCACATAGTCACTTTAAGATCTTCTTGGTTCTTTCGGTAAAGTCACGTAGAAGGGAAATAACCAGCTGAAATATACGCTCCAAGCTTGGTGGTGTTTCATTCTTCACCTGAGGACGGCTGCTTGCGTTGTGGCCGAAACGTCGTGAGAATTATTTTATTATGTTTTATTTTATTATTTTATTACTTCCCTTCTACGTGACTTTACCGAAAGAACCAAGAAGAAAAATAAAATAATTCTCACGACGTTTCGGCCACAACGCAAGCAGCCGTCCTCAGGTGAAGAACAGGTCTGTCGGAAATTTCAGACGCTGTCTCCTCGACAGACCTGTTCTTCACCTGAGAACGGCTGCTAGCGTTGTGGCCGAAACGTCGTGAGAATTATTTTATTTTGTTTTATTTTCATTATTTTATTATTTCCCTTCTACGTGACTTTACCGAAAGAACCAAGAAGATGAATCCCTGCAGTCACGAAAACTTTAAATCGAAATTCACTTTAAGATGTTTTCTTGTTCATGTTTCCGTTTTTTGTTTCTTGCGGTTAACACCCGATTCAAGAGCCGAATGGCTCACAGGGCTATATACCTAATACATGAACTTGGTACATTTTTTTTTTAAATTGATGCTTTTAGTGCCTGTCTCCTCCTCTCACCTGGCGCAGGTACAGCTTGAGCACGTTGCTCACATCGTGCGGAGAAGCCTGCTGGAGGTCGGGCGGCGCCCCGGGGCGCGCCCCCTCCATCGCCTGGCAGAGGCGCTCCACTCGAGACTTCACCCCGTTCACTCGGTAGATCCCCTGCACGCACGCACGGCGGCGGCGGGTGAGTGGTGAGTGTGTGCGGTGAGTGGTTTGGTGAGTGGTGAGTGTGTCCGGTGAGTGGTTTGGTGAGTGGTGAGTATGTCCGGTGAGTGGTCTGGCGAGTGTGTGCGGTGAGTGGAGAGTTTGTGCGGTGAGTGGTGTGTTCGTGGAATGGTCTGGTGAGTGTGTGCGGTGAGTGGTGAGTGTGTGCGGTGAGTGGTGAGTGTGTGCGGTGAGTGGTGAGTGTGTGCGGTGAGTGGTGAGTGTGTGCGGTGAGTGGTGAGTGTGTGCGGTGAGTGGTGAGTGTGTGCGGTGAGTGGTGAGTGTGTGCGGTGAGTGGTTTGGTGAGTGGTGAGTGTGTGCGGTGAGTGGTGAGTGTGTGCGGTGAGTGGTTTGGTGAGTGGTGAGTGTGTCCGGTGAGTGGTTTGGTGAGTGGTGAGTGTGTCTGGTGAGTGGTGGGTGTGTCTGGTGAGTGGTGAGTGTGTGCGGTGAGTGGTGAGTGTGTGCGGTGAGTGGTGAGTGTGTGCGGTGAGTGGTGAGTGTGTCCGGGGAGTGGTTTGGTGAGTGGTGAGTGTGTCTGGTGAGTGGTTTGGCGAGTGGTGAGTGTGTCTGGTGAGTGTGTGCGGTGAGTGGTGAGTGTGTCTGGTGAGTGGTTTGGTGAGTGGTGAGTGTGTCCGGTGAGTGGTGTGTTCGTTCACTCGGTAGATCCCCTGCACGCACGCACGCACGGCGGCGGCGGGTGAGTGGTGAGTGTGTCTGGTGAGTGGTTTGGTGAGTGGTGAGTGTGTCCGGTGAGTGGTTTGGTGAGTGGCGAGTATGTCCGGTGAGTGGTCTGGCGAGTGTGTGCGGTGAGTGGAGAGTTTGTGCGGTGAGTGGTGTGTTCGTGGAATGGTCTGGTGAGTGTGTGCGGTGAGTGGTGAGTGTGTCTGGTGAGTGGTGGGTGTGTCTGGTGAGTGGTGAGTGTGTGCGGTGAGTGGTGAGTGTGTCTGGTGAGTGGTTTGGTGAGTGGTGAGTGTGTGCGGTGAGTGTGTCTGGTGAGTGGTTTGGTGAGTGGTGAGTGTGTGCGGTGAGTGGTGAGTGTGTGCGGTGAGTGGTCTGGTGAGTGTGTGCGGTGAGTGGTGTGTTCGTTCACTCGGTAGATCCCCTGCACGCACGCACGCACGGCGGCGGGTGAGTGGTGAGTGTGTGCGGTGAGTGGTTTGGTGAGTGGTGAGTGTGTCCGGTGAGTGGTGTGTTCGTTCACTCGGTAGATCCCCTGCACGCACGCACGCACGGCGGCGGCGGGTGAGTGGTGAGTGTTTCCGGTGAGTGGTTTGGTGAGTTTGTGCCGTGAGTGGCGAGTGTGTCTGGTGAGTGGTGAGTGTGTGCGGTGAGTGGTGAGTGTGTGCGGCGAGTGGTGAGTGTGTCCGGTGAGTGGTTTGGTGAGTGGTGAGTGTGTCTGGTGAGTGGTGGGTGTGTCTGGTGAGTGGTGAGTGTGTGCGGTGAGTGGTGAGTGTGTGCGGTGAGTGGTGAGTGTGTCCGGTGAGTGGTTTGGTGAGTGGTGAGTGTGTCTGGTGAGTGGTTTGGTGAGTGGTGAGTGTGTCTGGTGAGTGGTTTGGCGAGTGGTGAGTGTGTCTGGTGAGTGGTTTGGCGAGTGGTGAGTGTGTGCGGTGAGTGGTGAGTGTGTCCGGTGAGTGGTTTGGTGAGTGGTGAGTGTGTGCGGGGAGTGGTTTGGTGAGTGGTGAGTGTGTCTGGTGAGTGGTTTGGCGAGTGGTGAGTGTGTCTGGTGAGTGGTGGGTGTGTCTGGTGAGTGGTGAGTGTGTGCGGTGAGTGGTTTGGTGAGTGGTGAGTGTGTGCGGTGAGTGGTTTGGTGAGTGGTGAGTGGTTTGGTGAGTGGTGAGTGTGTGCGGTGAGTGGTTTGGTGAGTGGTGAGTGTGTCTGGTGAGTGGTGAGTGTGTCTGGTGAGTGGTTTGGTGAGTGGTGAGTGTGTCTGGTGAGTGGTGAGTGTGTGCGGTGAGTGGTTTGGTGAGTGGTGAGTGTGTCTGGTGAGTGGTTTGGTGAGTGGTGAGTGTGTCTGGTGAGTGGTGAGTGTGTCTGGTGAGTGGTGAGTGTGTCTGGTGAGTGGTTTGGTGAGTGGTGAGTGTGTCTGGTGAGTGGTGAGTGTGTGCGGTGAGTGGTTTGGTGAGTGGTGAGTGGTGAGTGTGTCTGGTGAGTGGTGAGTGGTGAGTGTGTTTGGTGAGTGGTGAGTGGTGAGTGTGTCTGGTGAGTGGTGAGTGGTGAGTGTGTCTGGTGAGTGGTGAGTGGTGAGTGTGTCTGGTGAGTGGTGAGTGGTGAGTGTGTCTGGTGAGTGGTGGGTGTGTGCGGTGAGTGGTGAGTGTGTGCGGTGAGTGGTTTGGTGAGTGGTGAGTGTGTCTGGTGAGTGGTCTGGTGAGTGGTGAGTGGTCTGGTGAGTGGTGTGTCCGGTGAGTGGTGAGTGTGTGCGGTGAGTGGTTTGGCGAGTGGTGAGTGTGTCTGGTGAGTGGTGGGTGTGTGCGGTGAGTGGTGAGTGTGTCTGGTGAGTGGTCTGGTGAGTGGTGAGTGTGTCTGGTGAGTGGTGAGTGTGTGCGGTGAGTGGTTTGGCGAGTGGTGAGTGTGTCTGGTGAGTGGTGGGTGTGTGCGGTGAGTGGTTAGTGTGTCTGGTGAGTGGTTTGGTGAGTGGTGAGTGTGTGCGGTGAGTGGTGAGTGTGTCTGGTGAGTGGTCTGGTGAGTGGTGAGTGTGTGCGGTGAGTGGTGAGTGTGTCTGGTGAGTGGTTTGGTGAGTGGTGAGTGTGTCTGGTGAGTGGTGTGTCCGGTGAGTGGTGAGTGTGTGCGGTGAGTGGTGAGTTTGTCCGGTGAGTGGTTTGGCGAGTGGTGAGTGTGTCTGGTGAGTGGTGAGTGTGTCTGGTGAGTGGTGAGTGTGTGCGGTGAGTGGTGAGTGTGTGCGGTGAGTGGTGAGTTTGTGCGGTGAGTGGTGTGTCCGGTGAGTGGTTTGGTGAGTTTGTGCGGTGAGTGGCGAGTGTGTGCTGTGAGTGGTGAGTTTGTGCGGTGAGTGGTGTGTCCGGTGAATGGTTTGGTGAGTTTGTGCGGTGAGTGGCGAGTGGGTGCGGTGAGTGGTGAGTTTGTGCGGCGAGTGGTGAGTGTGTCCGGTGAGTGGTTTGGTGAGTTTGTGCGGTGAGTGGCGAGTGTGTGCGGTGAGTGGTGAGTTTGTTCGGTGAGTGGTGTGTTCGTTCACTCGGTAGATCCCCTGCAGGCACGCACGCACGGCGGCGGGTGAGTGGTGTGTCCGGTGAGTGGTTTGGTGAGTGTGTGCGGTGAGTGGTGAGTTTGTGCGGTGAGTGGTGAGTTTGTGCGGTGAGTGGTGTGTCCGGTGAGTGGTTTGGTGAGTTTGTGCGGTGAGTGGCGAGTGTGTGCGGTGAGTGGTGAGTTTGTGCGGTGAGTGGCAAGTGTGTGCGGTGAGTGGTGAGTTTGTGCGCTGAGTGGTGTGTCCGGTGAGTGGTTTGGTGAGTGGTGAGTGTGTCCGGTGAGTGGTGTGTCCGGTGAGTGGTTTGGCGAGTTTGTGCGGTGAGTGGCGAGTGTGTGCGGTGAGTGGTGAGTTTGTGCGGTGAGTGGCGAGTGTGTGCGGTGAGTGGTGTGTTCGTTCACTCGGTAGATCCCCTGCACGCATGGCGGCGGGTGAGTGGCGTGTCCGGTGAGTGGTTTGGTGAGTGGCGAGTGTGTGCGGTGAGTGGCGAGTTTGTCCGGTGAGTGGTGAGTGTTTTTGGTGAATGGTCTGGTGAGTGGTGAGTGGTGAGTGTGTCACGGTGTGTGGTGGTGAGGTTAGGCGGGTGGTGAATGCGTCCTGTGCTGAGGGTGTCACGCCGGACATGCCCCCCCCCCCCCACCAGCCACCCCACCCCCCCACCACAAACCATACCCCCCCACACCCCCCCCCCCACCAGCCATACCCCCCCACCTCCCCCCCCCCACCAGCCATACCCCCCCACCAGACACACTCCCCCACACCCCCCCCCCCCCCCACCAGCCATACCCCCGACACCCCCCCCACCAGACACCCCCCCACCAGCCAACCACCCCCACACCCCCCCCCTACCAGCCATACCCCCCACCAGCCATACCCCGCCCCCCCCCCACCACCCCACCACCGAGTGTACACCGACGGTCACCGCCCCCACCTTGAGCGTCATGGCTCGCCGCTCGATCTCGCTCACGCACAGCCGAACCGGCTCCGGCACGCCGCTCGCGACGTCACCGCCGTGCGGCGCCGGTGACGCTGCCGCCGACGCCGACGGTGACGCCGGTGACGCCGGCGACGGTGACGTCAGCGGGGAGGGCGGAGCGGTGCGGCGCTCGCGCGAGCAGCAGCGCACCGCCAGGGACTCGAGGCACTTCTTGTGGCACGCCAGCAGGCACTGGGCGGGCAGGCGGGTGGCACAACGGCGAGAGGGTGAGAGGACGACTCAGAGAGAGAGAGGAAGGATGACTCGGAGACTGGACGACTCAGAGAGAGAACAACCGAGAGAGAGAACGACTCAGGGATAGGGGGAGAGAGGACGACTCGGAGAGAGAGAGGATGACTCTGAGACTGGACGTCTCAGAGAGAGAACGACTCAGGGATAGGGGGAGAACGACTCGGAGACACAGAGAGAGAGAGGACAACTCAGACAGAGACGCAGAGAGACAAAGAGAGAGACACAGACAGATAAAGGCAGACAGACAGAGACAGACAGAGACAGACAGAGAGATACAGACAGAGACAAACAGAGAGAGACAGACAGAGACACAGAGAGAGAGAGACAGACAGATAGAGAGACACAGACAGACAGAGACAGACAGACAGACACAGACAGACAGAGACAGACAGAGACACAGACAGACACAGACAGAGACACAGACAGACAGAGACACAGACAGAGACACAGAGAGAGAGAGACAGACAGAGACAGACAGACATGGATAGAAAAACAGAGACAGACAGATAGAGAGACACAGACAGAGAGAGACAGACAGAGACAGAGAGACACCAAGAGAGACAGAGAGACAGACAAAGACACAGAGAGACAGACACAGAGAGACAGAGAGACAGACAGAGACACAGAGAGACAGACAGAGACACAGAGAGACAGACAGAGACACAGAGAGACACACCGACAGAGACACACCGACAGAGACACCGAGAGAGACAGAGACACGGGGGGGGGGGGGGTGGATGGTGCGCCCACCTCCTGGCACTCGGCGCCCTGAAAGTAGATGAACGTGTCGCAGGCGCGGCAACGCGACGGCGCTCGCAGCTTGCGCAACCGGTGGGAGCGCGCCGCCTCCGACAGCACCGCCTTGGTGAAGGACGACGAGGAGGAGGAGGAGGAGGGGGGGGAGGAGCATGGCCCCTCGGGGCCCCCCACTCCGGACGACGCGGCCCCCACCGCCGGCCCGTCTGCGAGACGCACGCACGGGGACGGTAGTGACGGTGGTGGTGACGACGGTAGTGACGGTGGTGGTGACGGTAGTGACGGTGGTGGTGACGGTAGTGACGGTGGTGTTGACGGTAGTGACGGTGGTAGTGACGACGGTAGTGACGGTGGTGACGACGGTAGTGACGGCGGTGGTGACGACGGTAGTGACGGTGGTGGTGACGGTAGTGACGGTGGTGTTGACGGTAGTGACGGTGGTGACGACGGTAGTGACGGCGGTGGTGACGACGGTAGTGACGGTGGTGGTGACGGTAGTGACGGTGGTAGTGACGACGGTAGTGACGGTGGTGACGACGGTAGTGACGGCGGTGGTGACGACGGTAGTGACGGTGGTGGTGACGGTAGTGACGGTGGTGGTGACGGTAGTGACGGTGGTAGTGACGACGGTAGTGACGGTGGTGACGACGGTAGTGACGGCGGTGGTGACGACGGTAGTGACGGTGGTGGTGACGGTAGTGACGGTGGTGGTGACGGTAGTGACGGTGGTAGTGACGACGGTAGTGACGACGGTAGTGACGGTGGTAGTGACGACGGTAGTGACGACGGTAGTGACGGTGGTAGTGACGACGGTAGTGACGGTGGTGGTGACGACGGTAGTGACGGTGGTGGTGACGACGGTAGTGACGGTGGTGGTGACGACGGTAGTGACGGTGGTGGTGACGACGGTAGTGACGGTGGTGGTGACGGTAGTGACGGTGGTGGTGACGGTAGTGACGGTGGTAGTGACGACGGTAGTGACGGTGGTGACGACGGTAGTGACGGTGGTGACGACGGTAGTGACGGTGGTGGTGACGACGGTAGTGACGGTGGTGGTGACGACGGTAGTGACGGTGGTGGTGACGACGGTAGTGACGGTGGTGACGACGGTAGTGACGGTAGTGACGGTGGTAGTGACGACGGTAGTGACCGTGATGGTAGTGACGGTGACGGTGATGGGGATGGTAGTGACGACGGTAGTGACCGTGATGGGGATGGTAGTGACGGTGGCGGTGATGGTGACGGTGGTGACTGTGACGGTCGTGACGGTGACGGTGATGGTAGTGATGGTGATGGTGGTGACGACGGTAGCGACGGTGATGGGGATTGTAGTGACGGTGACGGTGGTGACTGTGATGGTAGTGACGGTGACGGTGGTGACTGTGATGGTAGTAGTTGACAATAGTGATGGTAACGGTAATGGTGATGATAACGGTGGTGACTGTGATGGTAGTGACGGTGATGGGGATGGTAGTGACGGTGATGGGGATGGTGATGGCAACGGTGGCGACTGCGATGGTAGTGACGGTGATGGGAGTGACGCTAACGGTGATGGTAGTGATGGTGATGGTAGTGATGGTGATGGTGATGATAACGGTGGTGACTGTGACGGTAGTGACGCTAACGGTGATGGTAGTGACGGTGATGGGGATGGTGGTGACGGTGATGGTAGTGACGGTGATGGGGATGGTAGTGATGGTGACGGTTATGGTGATGGCAACGGTGGTGACTGTGATGGTAGTGACAGTGATGGGAGTGACGCTAACGGTGATGGTAGTGACGGTGGCGGTGATGGTGGTGACGGGGATGGTAGTGACGGTGACGGTGATTGGGAGTGACGGTGACGTCAGCTCATGCCGCTGCGCCGCTCACTCTCGTGGAGAGAGGGGGAGGGGGATGGACGACTCTGAGAAAGAGAGGACGACTCGGAGAGGGGATAGGAGGCGCGGGGAAGATTACTCGCACAGACAGGGGACGACTCGGAGAGAGGGCGAGCAGCGTGGGCGAGCAGCGTGGGCGAGCAGTGTGGGCGAGCGTGCGCTACCCCCGTCGGCAGGGCTGCACGGGTCGGTGTCGTCGAGATCGTCCACGGAGGACATGGTGCCTGTGGACGGGGTACGGGGCAGCTTGCGCATGAAGTCACCTGGGTGCAGAGGTCACACGGTGGGGGGGGGGGGGGATGAGAGGGGGATCATTCTATGGCAGAGGTCACAAACGGGTTTTGATTCGTGTAGCTAGGAGATGTTAACTACCTCGCCTGGTACACAGGAGGTCGTGGGTTCAATCCCGACCCTGACGCCTGCTGCTGGACATTTGGAGTTTGCGTGTGGCTAGGAGATGTTAACTACCTCGCCTGGTACACAGGAGGTTGTGGGTTCAATCCCGACCCTGACGCCTGCTGTATATTTGGAGTTTGCGTGTGGCTAGGAGATGTTAACTACCTCGCCTGGTATACAGGAGGTCGTGGGTTCAATCCTGACCCTGACGCCTGCTGCTGTATATTTGGAGTTTGCATGTGGCTAGGAGATGTTAACTACCTCGCCTGGTATACAGGAGGTCGTGGGTTCAATCCCGACCCTGACGCCTGCTGCTGTATATTTGGAGTTTGCGTGTGGCTGGGAGATGTTAACTACCTCGCCTGGTATACAGGAGGTCGTGGGTTCAATCCCGACCCTGACGCCTGCTGTATATTTGGAGTTTGCATGTGTGGCTAGGAGATGTTAACTACCTCGCCTGGTACACAGGAGGTCGTGGGTTCAATCCCGACCCCGACGCCTGCTGTATATTTGGAGTTTGCGTGTGGTTGGGAGATGTTAACTACCTCGCCTGGTATACAGGAGGTCGTGGGTTCAATCCCGACCCTGAGGCCTGCTGCTGTATATTTGGAGTTTGCATGGTTCTCCCCGTGGTGGTGTGGATTTTTCTCCGGGACTTCCTGTTTTTAAATCCTTTATATTAAGTTCGCTTGCTTGCTTGCGCGCTTACGACCGTGCAAATCTTTCGGTCGTTTTTTATTTAAATCCTTTATATTAAGTTATCTTGCTTGCTTGCTTGCGCGCTTACGACCGTGCAAATCTTTCGGTCGTTTTTTAACCTACTTCCCGTGATCCAATCGAGCTGACATTTTGCACACAGACTCGTTGTGCGTGACAATTTATTTTCGTGAAGAAAGAATTTGCTAAATTTTACACTTTTTAGGAATTTTTTTTATATTTAATTACCAATTGCTTAATGGTGGCAGGCAATCATCTGACCCATAGGTGGCAGCCATCTCAAGCCACAGGACGAGAGGACTCTAGCCGCCACGCATATAAAGGATTTATAGTGAAAAACTTTGTTTTTACGGGTTCATTTTTTTCCCTCCGCGTTTGGGTTTAAGAATTAAACCCATGATTCCAGGTCGCTTCTGAAAAAAAAGCTACGTATCTCAGCGGTGCCTTACCTGGTAACAAGTATAACCCGTAAAAACAAACTTTTTCACTATAAATCCTTTATATGCGTGGCGGCTAGAGTCCTCTCGTCCTCTGGCTTGAGATCGCTGCCACCTATGGGTCAGATGATTGCATGCCACCATTAAGCAATTGGTAATTAAATATAATTTTTTTGTCCTAAAAAGTGTAACATTTTGGAAAACAAATTTCACGAACATTAATTGTCACGCACAACGAGTCTGTGTGCCAAATGTCAGCTCGATTGGATCACGGGAAGTGGGTTTAAAAACGACCGAAAGATTTGCACGGTCGTAAGCGCGCAAGCAAGCAAGCAAGTGAACTTAATATAAAGGATTTAAAAAATAAAAACAAGTTTAGCTTCGTTTAATTATTCGCCGTCACTGATATGCTGCTTGCTGTGAACAGGAATTCGAACTCGGGTCACCGGGTGTGCAACCACTGCGCCACCGCTCTCCGTATATACACACACAAAGACAAAGGTTCCTTCCCCCCGTGTAGCTGTTAACAGGCTGCTGGGGCAAGGGCTGTTAGCGAGTAGCAGCAACAGCAGCAGCGCCGATGAAGGCTGGCAAAGTGGCACCACGAGGTGGATCGGTGTGGTGTGGTGGTGTGGTGGCATGGTGCGGTGTGGATATGGTGTGATGTGGCAGTGTGGTTGTGGTGGTGGTGGTGGTGATGATGGTGGTAGTAATTGTGGTGGTTGCGGTGGTGGTGATGATGATGGTGGTAATTGTGGTAGTTGCAGTGGTGGTGGTGATGGTAGTAATTGTGGTGGTTGTGGTGTGGTGATGGTGGTGATGGTAGTAATTATGGTGGTTGCGGTGGTGGTAGCACCAGCCGCCCATGCCTCTGCGCGTCACTCATGGAGCAGGTGGTGGTGTGGTTGTGTGATGGTGTGGTGGTGTAGTAGTGGTGTAGTGGTGGTGTGGTGGTGGTGTAGTGGTGGTGGTGTAGTGGTGGTGTAGTGGTGGTGGTGTAGTAGTGGTGGTAGTAGTGGTGGTGTAGTAGTGGTGGTGTAGTAGTGGTGGTGTAGTGGTGGTGGTGTAGTGGTGGTGTAGTTGTGGTGGTTGTGGCCGCCGGTGCCACCTACCGGGGCTGGCGGAGGGTGAGTCGAGTGAGCGCGACTCGCTGCTGCCGCTGCCGCTGTCCGTGTCACTCACCCCGCCCACCAGCCAACTCCTGCCACGTGACGCCTCGCCTGCACACCACACCAAACCATCACCGTGAGTACACCACCACCACCACCACCGCACCACCAGCATGAGTACACCACATGCGGGCGCCGCTACCGACGCCCACCGCTTGCGAAGCCGCCGCGGCAACAGACGCGACGCACGCAACTCACCGCGTCAACACGCTCGGCAACGCACACCTACGGCGCCACGCACCCCACAAACGCACACCCTGCCCCCCACCGTGCCCCCCACCGTGCCCCCCACCGTGCCCCCCACTGTGCCCCCCACCGCCCCCCCCCCACCCCGTGGCTCACCCTTGCCGTTGAGCTTGAGCGAGCCCTTGGAGTCGCCACGGGGAGGAGGAGAAGCGACGGAGCACTGCTCCGAGCTGCCAGAGTCCTCACGGCCCAGCTTACGCTCCCTGGACACACGCGCACGTACACGCACGCACGCACACGCGCACACACACACGCGCACACACGCACACACACACACGCGCACGCACGCACACACACACACGCACGCACACACACACACGCACACACACACACACACGCGCACACACACGCACATACGCACGCACGCAAATAAAGACAAAGATCCCCCACGTAGCCTTCGCAGACTGTTGGGTCAAGTGATGTTAGCGAGCGCCTATGAAGGCCGGAACGGCACACGAGGGGGTGGGTGGCCATCACCACGCCCGGCCGCCTTTGTCTCCCCAGTGGCGATGTTTACTACACACTGCACCAGGTACTCATTTGAGGCCGAGTCGACCTCGGAGAGGCCCAGGACAGTAAGTGTAAGTCTATGGCTCTGTGTGTAAGTGTATGTCTCTGTAAGTAAGTCCATGGGTCTCTGTGTAAGTCCATAGGTCTCTGTGTAAGTCCATGGGTCTCTGTGTAAGTCCATGGGTCTCTGTGTAAGTGTATGTCTCTGTATGTAAGTCCATGTATCTCTGTGTAAGTCCATGGGTCTCTGTGTAAGTGTATGTCTCTGTGTAAGTCCATGGGTCTCTGTGTAAGTCCATGGGTCTCTGTGTAAGTCCATGGGTCTCTGTGTAAGTCCATGGGTCTCTGTGTAAGTCCATGGGTCTCTGTCTATGTTTATAGGTCTCTATGTAAGTCTATGGGTCTCTGTGCAATTCTATGGGTCTGTATTTGCCGACATATAGTGTCAGATCTTCGTGGATATTAGAGGGGTGGTGGTCGTGGTAGTGGAGGAGGGTGGTGGTGGAGGTGGCTGTGGGTGGTAGTGAGTATAAGTGCGTGGTGGTGGGTGGTAGTGGGTGGTGGTGGGTGGTAGTGGGTGGTGGCTGTAGTTGAGGTGGTGGTGATAGTTGGTGGTAATTGGTGGGTGGTGGTGATGGTGGGTTATGGTCGTTGTGGTGGTCGTTGTGGTAGTGGGTGGTGGTAGTGGGTGGTGGTTGTAGTCAAGGTGGTGATTGATGGTAGTGGGTGGGTGGTGGTGGTAGTGGGTGGGTGTTAGTAGTAGTGAGTGGGTAGTGGTGGTAATGGTGATGGGTGGTGATGGTGATGGGTGGTGATGGTGGGTGTTAGTGGTAGTGAGTGGGTAGTGGTGGTAATGGTGATGGATGGTGATGGTGATGGGTGGTGATGGTGGGTGTTAGTGGTAGTGAGTGGGTAGTGGTGGTAATGGTGATGGGTGGTGATGGTGATGGGTGGTGATGGTGGGTGTTAGTGGTAGTGAGTGGGTAGTGGTGGTAATGGTGATGGGGGGTGGCGGGCCACTGACCGCGTGGTGGCGGGGGGCGACTGCGCCCGTTCGGCGAGGCGGCGTGCGAACGCCGCGTACTGCGCGCCAGCCACGTAGGCGTCGGTGCCCTCGTGCAGGGCCCGGTAGCGGGCGGGCAGCGCCGCTGCCTGGGTGCCCAGCAGCTCAAAGTAGGCGGCCGTCACCTGCGGCGCCAGCGTAAAAAATTAACCCGTAAAAACAAAGTTTTTCACTATAAATCCTTTATATGCGTGGCATCGGTTTTATTTTATTATTCATTTCTGTTTTTCTTGAGTAAGAGTTTCAGTTTGATCACATTGGTATTTTAAATTAAATATTTTTTTTTTTAAATTCCTAAAAAGTGGAAAATTTTGGAACATTTTTTTCACGAAAATGCATTGTCACGCACAACGAGTCTGTGTGCAAAATGTCAGCTCGATTGGATCACGGGAAGTGGGTTAAAAAACGACCGAAAGATTTGCACGGTCGTAAGCGCGCAAGCAAGCAAGTGAACTTAATATAAAGGATTTAAAAACACGCAGAAACACGCCAAAAAAAGACAAAGATTCCCCGTATAACCTTAATAAACTGTTTGGGGCAAGTGCTGTTAGCGAGCACCTATGAAGGCCGGCACGGCACACGAGGGGGTGGGTGGCCAGCACCACGCCCGGCCGCCTTCATCTCCCCAGTGGCGATGTTAACTACACACCGCTACACCAGCTACTCATTTGAGGCTGAGGCGACTTAGGGGAGGCCCATGACCGGTTCAGATAATCGTCACCGGTGTTGGTAGCCACGAGCGGGAATCGAACTCGGGTCGCCGGGTTCGTAGCGCATCGTAGCGCTAAACGCTACACTACCGCTCCCCACACACACACACTCGCACGCACAAACACACACACTCACACACACACGCACGCACACTCGCGCGCATACACGTGCACACACACACACTCGCACGCACGCGTGCACACACACACAATCGCACGCACGCACACACACACGCACACACACACACACTCACGCACACACGCAGGCACACGTGCACACACACACACACACTCGCACGCACGCGCGTACACACACACACAATCGCACGCACGCACACACACACGCACACACACACACACTCGCACGCACACACACACACACACAATCGCACGCACACACACACGCACACACACACACACGCACACACACACACACGCACACTCGCACGCGCACACACACACAATCGCACGCACGCACACACACACGCACACACACACTCGCACGCACACACACGCGCACACACGCACACACACGCGGTTGTTGACACGCTGGCGCCTCACCGTCTTGAGCGCCAGGTCGGCCCGGCGCGCCAGCTCCCGCACCTGCGTCAGCACCACCGTCTTCACGGCCTGCACCTCCTGGCGGCGCAGGCGCAGTTCCTTGGCGCTGGCGCGGTACACGGCGTCCGCCTCGTCCGCCTGCCGCCAACACCGCCATCGACACCACCACCATCACCACCATCAGCAACACCAGCATCACCATCACCACCACTACCACCGCCAGCACCAACACCACTACCACCGCCACTACCACCGCCATCGGCACCACCATCAGCAACACCACCAGCATCACCATCACCACCACCACCATCACCACCACCACTACCACCGCCAACACCGCCATCGGCACCACCATCAGCAACACCACCAGCATCACCATCACCACCACTACCATCACCACCACCACTACCACCGCCAACACCGCCATCGGCACCACCACCATCAGCAACACCAGCATCACCATCACTACCACCGCCAGCATCACCACCACCACCACCAGCACCACCATCACCGCCAGCACCACCAGCATCACCACCACCATCATCAGCACCACCACCACCACTACCCCCAGCACCACCAGCATCATCAGTATCACTACCACCACCACTACTACCCCCAGCACCACCAGCATCACCAGCATCATCACCACCGCCAGCACCACCATCACCGCCAGCACCACCATCAGCACCACCACCATCATCAGCACCACCACCACCACTACCCCCAGCACCACCAGCATCATCAGTATCACTACCACCACCACTACTACCCCCAGCACTACCACCACCGCCACCGCCAGCACCGCCAGCACCACCAGCAACACCATCACCGCCAGCATCACCACCATCACCGCCAGCACCACCAGCATCACCACCACCACTACCCCCAGCACAATGAGCATCATCAGCATCACCAGTATCACTACCAGCACCACCATCAACACCATCAGCAGCAGCACCATCACCAGCACCACCGACACTGCCCCCACCAGCACCGCCGCCATCAGCACCGCCACCACCAGCACCGCCACCACCAGAACCGCCACCACCAACACCGCCAGCGTCACCACCACCACCACCAGCACCACCAGCGTCACCACCACCACCAGCACCACCACCACCAGCACCATTGCCGCCACCAGCACCACCACCATTTCCGTCACCAGCACCACCAGCACCGCCGCCACCAGCACCGCCACCACCAGCGCCAGCACCGCCGCCACCACCAGCACCAGGCACCGTGTGCCAAGGCACCGTGTGTCATGTGGCCGGCACCGGCTGTGCCCGGCACCGGCATTGCCCGGCACCGGCATTGCCCCGCACCTTCCTCAGCGCCTCGTCCTCCGTCTTGCGCTTGCGCTCCAGGGTGCGCGACGATCCGGCGTGGACGGTGCCGGCGCCGGCGCCGCCCTCGGCCGGGGACGACGCCGCCGTCACCGCCGCCAGCCCCTCCTCGGCGCGTGCCGCCGAACCTCGGGCGCGCTCCAGCTCCTCGCGCCGCTGAGAGTACAGCTGGTGGGGCACGGGGGGGGGGGGGGGTACAGCGGGGGAAGGGGGGGGGCGTGGGGGAGGGGGGGCACGCGGTCAAATGTGCGCACGGTACAAAAGACTCACGGACTGAAACGAGCGTTACAGGGAGGCACGCAGAGCGATCGAGGTAGACGGGGATTCACAGCGACAGAGGGGGACACAGAGAGACTCGGGGAGATGCAGGGAGACACGGGGTGGGGGGGGGGGTGCAGGGAGACAGAGGGAGACAGAGAGACACGAGGAGACACGGGGTGGGGGGGGGGGGGATGCAGGGAGATGCAGGAGGGAGACAGAGAGACACGAGGAGACGCAGGGAGATACGGTGTGGGGGGTGCAGGGAGACAGAGAGAGACACGGGGGAGATGGAGGAAGACAGAGAAAGAGTTGAAGAGAGAAGACAGAGGGAGACAGAGAGACACAGGGAGACACGGGGGGGGGGGGGGGGCAGGGAGACAGAGAGACACAAGGAGACGCAAGGAGACGCAGGGAGACGCAGGGGAGACGGAGGGAGACCGGTAGACACAGAGAGAGAGATGTAGAGAGGGAGACGAGCGTTTAACCACTCAGAGTCCACACTCAACCGGCTGTTGGCGCAAGTGCTGTCAGCGAGTTGCACCGAGGGAGGCCGGTATAGCGCATGACAGGGGGGCGGTGGGGTGGCCAGCACCACACCAGGTACTCATTTACAGCCAAGTCGACCTAGAGGAGGCCCGGGACCGGTTCAGATTATTCGTCACTTGTGGTGGCGGCGAGCGGGAATCGAACTCGGGCGTGTTGGGGTTCGAAACGCGGCGCCGCTAACCACTGCGCCACCGCCCATTGGGCCAAGTGCTGTTCGCCACTAAGTGGCGGTGACGTCGCCACGGCGCTTGTGCCAGGCTAGGTGCACCACGCAGGCACGCAGCTTGTACCTGTCGGGCTTTCTTGAGGCTGCACTCTGCCTCGGCCTGCAACGAACACAGAGACACACGAAGACCGAGACACGAAGACAGACACGCAGAGACACACGCACAGACACACACGCAGAGACACACACACAGAGACACACAGAGACACACGCACAGAGACACACGCACACAGACACACGCACACAGACACACGCACACAGACACACGCACACAGACACACGCACACAGAAACACACATGCAGAGACACACGCACACAGACACACGCGCACAGAGACACACACGCAGAGACACATGCACACAGACACACGAAGACAGAGACACGCGCACACAGACACACGCACAGAGACACACGCACACAGACACATGCACACAGACACACGCACACAGACACACGTGCACAGAGACACACGAAGATAGAGACACACGCACACAGAGACACACGCACACAGACACATGCACACAGACACACGCACACAGAGACACACCAAGACAGAGACACACACGCAGAGACACACGAGTACACAGACACACGCACAGAGACACACCAAGACAAAGACACACGAGCACACAGAGACACACGAAGACCGAGACACACACGCAGAGACACACGAGCACAGACACACGCACACAGACACACGAAGACAGAGACACGTGCACAGAGACACACACGCACACAGACACGCGGACAGAGACACACGAAGACAGAGACACACGCACAGAGACACACACACGGTCACACGGGGAGGTCAAAGACAAAGCCAAAGATCCCCCCGCGCTGGAAGCCTCTAACATACTGCAGTGGGGCCAAGCGCTGTTAAAAACACAGAATTATACTTTTATTAAACCAGCTTAGGGCCCACTGAGCTATTTATCGCGCTTGTTCAGAAGCGACCTGGCAATCACAAATGAGAGCTCAACGAAGTGGCTCATCGTCGTCATCACGTGGAAATTTATGGCAGCAACCAAATACTGGAAACGCGTGCCGATGATTCTACATGTGAAGGGGGGAAACCCGGAGGACCCGGGGAAAAATCCACACAACCACGGAGAGAGAGAGACACCGCAAACTCCAAATATACAGCAGCAGGCGGCAGGGTCGAGATCGAACCCACGACCTTCTGCATACCAGGCGATGTAGTTAACATCTCCTAGCCACATACGTATAACCTTAACAGACTCTTGGGCCAAGTGCTTTTGGCGAGTAGCACCCTATGAAGGCCGAAATGGCAGACGAAGGGGGGTGGGTGGCCAACACCACGCCCGGCCGCCTTTGTCTCCCCAGTGGCGATATCTACACACCCGATTTAAAGCTTTCGTGACTGCAGGGATTCATATTCTTGGTTCTTTCCGTAAAGTCACGTAGAAGGGAAATAATAAAATAATAAAAATAAAACATAATAAAAATAATTCTCACGACGTTTCGGCCACAACGCAAGCAGCCGTCCTCAGGTGAAACCAGGTCTGTCGAGGCGACAGCGTCTGAATGTTGTGGCCGAAACGTCGTGAGAATTATTTTATTATGTTTTATTTTTATTATTTTATTACTTCCCTTCTACGTGATGACTTTACCGAAAGAACCAAGAAGATCTACACACCCATTTCGACCGAGGGGAGGCCCGGGACCAGTCCAGATAATCGTCACCGGTGTTGGCCGTGAGCGGAAATTGAACCCGGGTCACACGTGGGTTCGTAGCGCGGCGCTAACCGCAAGACTGCCGCTAAACCACGTGCGTGCGTGCCCGCCCGCCCGCCTTTGTCTCCCTCGTGGAGTGGGGAGTGGGGGGCGGGGTTCCGGTGGGTTCCGGTGGGTTCCGGTGGGTCCCCCCCTCCCGCCGTACCAGCCGGCGCTGTCCCTTCTGCCACAGCTCCTTGAGCTCCTTCCGTTTGCGCTCGTGTTCCTCGCGCCAGCTCCGCAGAGGCTGCAGGGGTGGGGGGTAGGGGGGGAGAGGTGGGGGGGGGAGAGGTGGGGGGGGGTGGGGAGGTGAGGGGTGGGTGCAGGGGGGGAGGGGGTGGAGAGGTGGGGGGAGAGGTGAGGGGAGGGGGTGGAGAGGTGGGGGGTGGAGAAGTGGGGGGGGGGAGAAGTGGGGGGAGGGGGTGGGGAGTGGGTGCAGGGGGGGAGAGGGTGGAGAGGTGGGGGGAGGGGGTGGAGAGGTGGGGGGGGGGTGTGGAGGTGGGGAGTAGGGGTGGAGAGGGGGTGGAGAGGTGGGGGGTGGAGAGGTGGGGGGAGAGGTGGGGGAGAGGTGGGGGGGTGGAGAGGTGGGGGGAGAGGTGGGGGAGAGGTGGGGGGAGGGGGTGGAGAGGTGGGGGTGGAGAGGTGGGGGAGGGTGGAGAGGTGGGGGGAGGGGGTGGGGAGGTGGGGTCATAATTGGTTGTGTGAGTGTGTTTGTATGTTGAACTTCCATCGCACCGTACGTAGCCAACCACATTAATCGAAAGTTGTGGATAGTGGAGTGTAAAGTATTGTGTAGTGTAGTATGCTTTAAAGGTGCCGCAGTAGCAACACTACCACGAGCACTAGCGGCAGTAGCAGCACTAGCCACAGCAGTAGCACTAGCAGAACTAACAGCAGTAGCAGCACGAGCAACAGCTCAAGCAGTAGCAGCACTAGCGGCGCTATCGGCACTGGCGGTGCTAGCAGCAGCAGCAGCAGTGCTAACAGCAGCGGCTAGAGCAGCAGCAGTAGCAGCAGCGCTATCGGCACTGGCGGTGCTAGCAGCAGCAGCGCTAACAGCAGCAGCAGCAGTAGCAGCAGCGCTAACAGCAGCAGCAGTAGCGCTATCGGCACTGGCGGTGCTAGCAGCAGCAGCAGCAGTGCTAACAGCAGCGGCTAGAGCAGCAGCAGTAGCAGCAGCGCTATCGGCACTGGCGGTGCTAGCAGCAGCAGCGCTAACAGCAGCAGCAGCAGTAGCAGCAGCGCTAACAGCAGCAGCAGTAGCGCTATCGGCACTGGCGGTGCTAGCAGCAGCAGCAGCAGCGCTAACAGCAGCGGCCCGAGAAGCAGCAGTAGCAGTAGTAGCAGCACTAGCGGCGCTATCAGCACTGGCGGTGCTAGCAGCAGCAGCAGCAGCGCTAACAGCAGCAGCTCGAGCAGCAGCAGTAGCAGCAGTAGTAGCAGCAGCAGCAGCAGCGCTATCGGCACTGGCGGTGCTAGCAGCAGCAGCAGCGCTAACAGCAGCAGCACGAGTAGCAGCAGTAGCAGCAGTAGTAGCAGCAGCAGCAGCGCTATCGGCACTGGCGGTGCTAGCAGCAGCAGCAGCGCTAACAGCAGCAGCACGAGCAGCAGCAGTAGCAGCAGTAGTAGCAGCACTAGCAGCGCTATCGGCACTGGCGGTGCTAGCAGCAGCAGCGCTAACAGCAGCAGCACGAGCAGCAGCAGTAGCAGCAGCAGTAGCAGCACTAGCGGCGCTATCGGCACTGGCGGTGCTAGCAGCAGCAGCGCTAACAGCAGCAGCTAGAGCAGCAGCAGTAGCAGCACTAGCGGCGCTATTGGCACTGGTGGCGCTAGCGGTAGCAGCACCAGCGGAGCCATCGGCACTCGTGGCACTAGGAGCAACAGCAGCAGCGCTAACAACAACAGCACGAGCAGCAGCAGCAGCAGCGGCGGCGGCGCTAGCGGTAGCAGCACCATCGGAGCCATCGGCACTGGCGGCACTAGCAGCAGCAGCAGTAGCATCAGCGGGCGGCGCAGGCGGGCGCGGGCGGCGCTCACCAGCACGCACTTGTCGGCCTGCAGCTGGGCGGCCGTGTGGGCGGCGGCGTGCGCCGTCTCCCAGTCCTGCTCCATGAGGGACGCGTAGACACCCTGCAGGGGCATAGGTGGCTGGTGCCACCAACACAACCACAACCACCACAATTGTTACCATCACAATTACTACCACCACCACAACCACCACCACCACCACAATTACTACCATCACCACCACTATCACCATCACCACAACGACCATCACAACCACCACAATTATTACCATCACCAACACCACAACCACCACAATTATTACCATCACCACCACCACAATTACTACCACCACCACAACAACCACCACAATTGTTACCACCACCACAATTACTACCACCACCACAACAACCACCACAATTGTTACCACCACCACAATTACTACCACCACCACAACAACCACAATTGTTACCATCACAATTACTACCACCACCACAACCACCACCACCACCACCACAATTACTACCATCACCACCACTATCACCATCACCACAACGACCATCACAACCACCACAATTATTACCATCACCAACACCACAACCACCACAATTATTACCATCACCACAATTACTACCACCAACACCACAACCACCACAATTGTTACCATCACCACCACAACCACAATTACTACCACCACCACAACCACCACAATTATTACCATCACCACCACCGGTTACTACCATTACCACCACCACCACAATTACTACCATCACCATCACCACCACCACAACCACCACAATTACTACCATCACCACCACCACCACAATGATTACCACCATCACCACAACCACCACAATTATTACCATCACCACCACAACCACCACAATTACTACCACCACCACAACCACCACAATTGTTACCATCACCACCACAATTACTACCACCACCACAACCACCACAATTATTACCACCACAACCACCACAATTATTACCATCACCACCACAACCACCACAACCACCACCGGAATCACTACCATTACCACCACCACAATTACTAGCGTCACCACCACCACAACCACCACAATTACTACCGTCGCCACCACCGGCATCACTCACATGACCACCACAATTATTACCCTCACCACCACCACCACAACCACCACAATTACTACCATCACCACAACCACCACAATTGTTACCATCACCACCACCATCACCACCACAACCACAATTATTACCACCATCACCACAACCACCACAACCACCACAATTACTACCACCACCAACAAAACCACCACAATTATTACCATCACTACCAACACAACCACCACAATTATTACCATCACCACCATCACAACCACCACCACCACAATTGTTACCACCACCAGCACCACAACCACCACAATTACGACCATCACCACCACCATCACCACAATTACTCCCATCACCACCACCACCGGCATCACTACCATGACCAGCACTATCACCACAATTACTACCATCATCACCATGGACATCACCACCACCACCACCACCACCACAACCACCACAATTATTACCATCACCACCACCGGTCACTACCATCACCACCACCGGCATCACTACCATCACCACCACCACAATTACTACCATCACCACCACAACCACAATGACTACCATCACCACCACCAGCATCACTATCATGACCACCACAACCACCACCACAATTACAACCATCACCACCACCAGCATCACTACCATTACCACCACAACCACCACCACAATTACTACCATCACCACCATGAGCATCACCGCCATCACTACCATCACCACTACCACAATTACAACCATCACCACCACCGGCATCACTACCATCTCCACCACCACAACCACCACAATTACTACCATCACCACCACCGGCATCACAACCATCACCACTACAAATCGGACTTATATATGTAACAAAAAAATTGTATCCATTACTTATATCTATTTAGTGACTCACTTACCATCTAGTCTGTATTGTGCGCTCCTTATTGCGTATGTTTCTGCATCGCTTGCAACTCTCTAACCCCCCTTCCCCCTGCCCTCCGCACTGGACCATATGTGAACAAGAGCTTGGTACCATTGGAACCTCATTTGCCAGTAGAAAATATGATAATTGGTTTTTTACCCTTCTATCTTTCAACAAAACTGACACCTTTTTTTTTACAAGGAGTCATGTTTACATAGACCACAATACCTGCAGTCATAATGCAAACAAAAAACATAACTTATAATATATGCACTGTTCTTGAAGTTCATTGGTCCACACCCGAGACAGCTTTCCTTAGAGCCTAGTCTCACATGGGTTGGACCAGATGACGCCAAAAGGCGCACAACTCAAAGACAATGCACCATCAGAGTATGAGAGCTCGGGGTGAAGCATTTACACCATTGGAACCTCATTTGCCAGTAAAAAATATGATAATTGGTTTTTACCCTTTAATCTGGCAACAAAACTGACACTTTTTTTTTACAAGGAGTCATGTTTACATAGACCACAATACCCGCAGTCATAATGCAAACAAAAAACATAACTCTGATAATCTGGTCCAACCCATGTGAGACTAGGCTCTAAGGAAAGCTGTCTCGGGTGTGGACCAATCAACTTCAAGGACAGTGCACACATTATCAGAGTTATGTTTTTTGTTTGCATTATGACTGCAGGTATTGTGGTCTATGCAAACATGACTCCTTGTAAAAAAGGTGTCAGTTTTGTTGCCAGATAAAAGGGTAAAAAAACAATTATCATATGTGTTACTGGCAAATGAGGTTCCAATGGTGTAAATGCTTACCCCGAGCTCTCATACTCTGATGGTGCATTGTCTTTGAGTTGTGCGCCTTTTGGTGTCATCTGGTCCAACACCCATCTGAGACTAGGCTCTAAGGAAAGCTGTCTCGGGTGTGGACCAATCAACTTCAAGGACAGTGCATACATTATCAGAGTTGTGTTTTTTGTTTGCATTATGACTGCAGGTATTGTGGTCTATGTAAACATGACTCCTTGTAAAAAAAAAAGTGTCAGTTTTGTTGCCAGATAGAAGGGTAAAAAAACAATCATCAAGAGTTCTAGATTTTAAGCTTTCGTGACTGCAAGGATTGATACTCTTAGTTCTTTCTGTAAAGTCACATAGGTAATTTTTCATTTTTTACCCACGTGACTTTACCAAAAGAACTAAGAGTAATTATCAAGAGCTTGTTAGCTCATCAGATTCGTCCTCCAGTCACAGACAGAGATATGTGAAAACGCACATTGGCAGGGCAAGCGCCCTCCCCACCCCGCCCCCCTCCTAGTGACGATCGCCATCGTTGGAGTGGTGCAAGTACCTCGTGGGTGAAGGCCGGCATCGGACACTGCGCCAGCTTCATCAGGTCCTTGGAGTAGTCGATGTCTGGTGAGCGAAACGAAGACAAAGCTCCATGGACACCGGGGTAGGTTGTACTGCACGTGGCAAAGGGTTCTAGTGGGGTCGGTCGGTGGAGATGGGGTGGCAACGGCAGGCGCAAGGCCACTGCACGGGGGAAGGTTCGAGAAAAATGGTGGGAGTCTGCTGGATGAGTCTAACGGAGGGAAAGTGCTGGAAGTTTCCGGGAGCGAGGCCCGCGATCAGGGCCGCCGGCTCGGGGACTGAAGGACGACTGCAGGTGGACGACATCGGGGCTGACTGTTGGAGGAGAGATGGTGGTGGTGGTGGAGGGAGGGCGGGTTTGGGAGATCAGGGAGAGAGATGAGGTGGAGGGAAAGCAGAGGAACGATGGTGGAGGGGAGAGTGGGGAGATTTGTAGTTGACATTGGGGAGGGGGGGGGGTGGTGGTGGAGGCAGGGAGGGTAGCCGTGGGTGGGCAAGGGGGGGGGGTGTGAGCGATAGGGGAGAGAGATGAGCTAAAGGAGGAGTGGAGAGATGGTGGAGGTTTAGAGTGAGGAGATGGTGGTGGGTTTGAAGGAGGGAGGGAGGGAGGTAGGGGGGGAGGGAGGTAGGGAGGGAGGGGAGGATGGGTGGGCAAGGGGGGGGTGTGAGCGATAGGGGAGAGAGATGAGCTGAAGGAGGAGTGCAGAGATGGTGGAGGGGAGAGTGAGGAGATGGTGGTGGGTTTGAAGGAGGGAGGGAGGGGTGGATGGGTGGGCGAGGGAGAGACCATACCCAGAGTGTTGCCTCCGCCCCACGTATCCCGAGATGGGGTTTGCGGACAGGGGAGAGAGAGAGAGGGCAGAGAAATGAACTGAAGGAGGGAGATGATAGATGGTGATGGTGGTGGGAGACAGGGAGGGGGAGGCCGTGGATTGACGAGGGGGAGGCGTGAGTCGATCGGGGAGAGAGATGGGCTGAAGTTAGGGATCGGAGAGATGGTGGAGGGGAGAGTGAGGAGATGGTGGTGGTGGTGTTGGTGGTGGTGGTGTTGGTGGTGGTGCAGGGAGCTGAGGGTGGCCGTGGGTGGGCGGGCGAGGCGTCCGTACCGACTGCGAGTCTCCGCTCAACGTACGCGGCGAGGCCGCTGATGTACTTGGACAGGGCCTTGGCGTAGGCCAGCGCCGCGTCGATACCCCCGTCGCACGAGTGCAACCGCTCGTCCAGGTCCTCCGAGTCCAACCCTGCTGGGTAACAAAGACAAAGGTTCCACCGCCACCACCAATCCCAATAGCCGCCATTCGCCACTTAGTGGCGACGATGTCACCACCACGGCGCCTGTGCCAGGCCTGGTGCGCTTTGAGGCCATCGCGGGAAGTGTTGAAGGCTCGCTGCTGGCAGGAGGAGGTCACGGGACAGACCCAGCAGGTGCCATGGGTTGACCGACTGAGATGGCTACTGGCCGATGCACCATCTGTGCCCCCTACTGTGCCAACTTTCTGCGTTTTAGCTGCCCAGCGCTCTGCCTCCGCAATGACTACCATCACCACCGCCTAAAAATACCTGGTAAAATACAAGTTTAGTAGCAGTCTGGGTCTCTATGAGTATAGGTCTCTATGGGTATGGGTCTCTAGGAGTTTGGGTCTCTATGAGTATGGGTCTCTATGGATCTCTCGGAGTATGGGTCTCTATGAGTTTGGGTCTCTGTGAGTGTGGGTCTCTGTGTGTATGGGTCTCTGTGAGTATGGGTCTCTGTGAGTATGGGTCTCTGTGAGTATGGGTCTCTGTGAGTATGGGTCTCTGTGAGTATGGGTATCTGTGAGTATGGGTCTCTATGAGTATGGGTCTCTGTGAGTATGGGTCTCTATGAGTGTGGGTCTCTGTGAGTATGGGTCTCCATGGATATGGATCTCCATGGGTCTCATGATGATGATGTGGCCGGGTCGCTTCTGACAAAACAGCTACGTAGCTCAGCGTGGCCTTAAAAAAATACCTGGTAAAAATAAAATCGCTTTAAATTGGTTTAGTTTAACATTTATTTCATTCATTTATTTATTTTTAGTTCAGTTATTAGGTAAAGCCCTGTGAGCCATGTGGCTCTTGAATCGTGTGCAACCGCAACAAACAAACAACATGAACAAGAAACATCTTCAAGTGACAACTGCAACAGAAAAATCCAGGAAAAAACAGCAGAAAAAAACGGCACACATCAACGCTGTTTGAAAAAATCCCAGTGGGATGCAAGTCAAACAATAACAACCAAAAGACAATTTAGATTAAAGTTATCAGTCTTATAACTCTGTACTACAATTTCGATTTAAAGCTTTCGTGACTGCAGGGATTCATCTTCTTGGTTCTTTCGGTAAAGTCACGTAGAAGGGAAATAATAACATAATAAAACATCATTAAATACAATTCTCACGACGTTTCGGCCACAACGCAAGCAGCCGTCCTCAGGTGAAGAACAGGTCTGTCGGAAAGACAGCGTCTGAATGAAACACCGCCAAGCTTGGCAGCGTATATTTAAGCTGTGTTAGAGGAGGAAGAGCGCCTTGACAAAGAAATTTACATATCAACAGATTAATTTAGCATATTTATGGAAAATGCAGATATGGGATTAGTCACTACTTGTGAAATGCGTAGGAGGTGGGGGCGGGGTGGGGTCTCAAAGTCATATTATATTATGCCCGTGCATTATGTAGGATAGCAGCGGTACTACAACACACAAACATGGTTAGACGAAAACGTTTTCGAAAACATGCCGGCCTCACCGAAGGCCGGATCTTCCTTATCGTCCCTCCCCTCCGCTCCCCTGCACTCCTCCTTCTCCCCGCTCAGGTTTTCCAGCGACTGTTGGAGGGTGGAGGTGGTGGTGGTGGTGGTGGGGAAATAAAAATTAACCCGTAAAAACAAAGTTTTTCACTATAAATCCTTTATATGCGTGGCGGCTAGAGTCCTCTCGTCCTCTGGCTTGAGATGGCTGCCACCTATGGGTCAGATGATTGCCTGCCACCATTAAGCGATTGGTAATTAAATATAATTATTTTTCCTAAAAAGTGTAAAATTTTGGAAAAATTTTGTCACGAAAATAAATTGTCACGCACAACGAGTCTGTGTGCAAAATGTCAGCTCGATTGGATCACGGGAAGTGGGTTCAAAAACGACCGAAAGATTTGCACGGTCGTAAGCGCGCAAGCAAGCAAGTGAACTTAATATAAAGGATTTAAAATTAACCCGTAAAAACTAAGTTTTTCACTATAAATCCTTTATATGCGTGGCGGCTAGAGTCCTCTCGTCCGCTGGCTTGAGATGGCTGCCACCTATGGGTCAGATGATTGCTTGCCACCATTAAGCAATTGGTAGTGGAGGTGGTGGTGGAGGAGGTGGTGGTGGAGGAGGTGGGGAAGAGGAGGTGGTGGAGGTGGTGGTGGAGGTGGTGGAGGAGGTGGTGGAGGAGGTGGTGGAGGTGGTGGTGGAGGTGGTGGGGGAGGTGGTGGGGGAAGAGGAGGTGGTGGAGGTGGTGGGGAAGAGGAGGTGGTGGAGGTGGTGGTGGAGGTGGTGGAGGAGGTGGTGGAGGAGGTGGTGGAGGAGGTGGTGGAGGTGGTGATGAAGGAGGTGGTGGAGGAGGTGGTGGAGGAGGTGGTGGTGGGGGAAGAGGAGGTGGTGGAGGTGGTGGTGGGGGGTGGTGGGGGAGGTGGTGGGGAAAGAGGTGGTGGGGGAAGAGGAGGTGGTGGAGGAGGTGGTGGAGGAGGTGGTGGAGGTGGTGATGAAGGAGGTGGTGGAGGAGGTGGTGGAGGAGGTGGTGGTGGGGGAAGAGGAGGTGGTGGAGGTGGTGGAGGAGGTGGAGGTGGTGGGGGAGGTAGTGGGGAAAGAGGTGGTGGGGGAAGAGGAGGTGGTGGTGGAGGAGGTGGTGGAGGTGGTGGAGGTAGAGGAGGTGGTGGAGGAGGTGGTGGAGGTGGTGGGGGTGGTGGTGGTGGTGGAGGTGATGGAGGAGGTAGTGGAGGAGGTGGTGGAGGTGGTGGAGGTGGTGGAGGAGGTGGTGGTGGGGGAAGAGGAGGTGGTGGAGGTGGTGGAGGAGGTGGTGGAGGTGGTGAGGGAGGTGGTGGGGAAAGAGGTGGTGGGGGAAGAGGAGGTGGTGGTGGAGGAGGTGGTGGAGGTGGTGGAGGTGGTAGAGGAGGTGGTGGAGGAAGAGGAGGTGGTGGAGGAGGTGGTGGAGGTGGTGGGGGTGGTGGTGGTGGTGGAGGTGATGGAGGAGGTGGTGGAGGTGGTGGTGGGGGAAGAGGAGGTGGTGGAGGAGGTGGTGGGGAAGAGGAGGTGGTGGAGGTGGTGGTGGAGGTGGTGGAGGAGGTGGTGGAGGAGGTGGTGGAGGTGGTGATGAAGGAGGTGGTGGAGGAGGTGGTGGAGGAGGTGGTGGAGGTGGTGGAGGTGGTGGAGGAGGTGGTGGTGGGGGAAGAGGAAGTGGTGGAGGTGGTGGAGGAGGTGGTGGAGGTGGTGGTGGAGGTGGTGGGGAAAGAGGTGGTGGAGGAAGAGGAAGTGGTGGTGGTGGAGGTGGTGGAGGTGGTGGTGGAGGTGGTGGAGGTGGTGGAGGAGGGTGGTGGAGGTGGTGGAGGAGGTGGTGGGGGAGGTGGTGGGGGAAGAGGAGGTGGTGGAGGTGGTGGGGAAGAGGAGGTGGTGGAGGTGGTGGTGGAGGTGGTAGAGGAGGTGGTGGAGGTGGTGGTGGAGGTGGTGGAGGAGGTGGTGGGGGAGGTGGTGGGGGAAGAGGAGGTGGTGGAGGTGGTGGAGGAGGTGGTGGAGGTGGTGATGAAGGAGGTGGTGGAGGAGGTGGTGGGGGAGGTGGTGGAGGTGGTGATGAAGGAGGTGGTGGTGGGGGAAGATGAGGTGGTGGAGGTGGTGGAAGAGGTGGTGGAGGTGGTGGGGGAGGTGGTGGGGAAAGAGGTGGTGGGGGAAGAGGAGGTGGTGGAGGAGGTGGTGGAGGAGGTGGTGGAGGTGGTGATGAAGGAGGTGGTGGAGGAGGTGGTGGAGGAGGTGGTGGAGGTGGTGGAGGAGGTGGTGGTGGGGGAAGAGGAGGTGGTGGAGGTGGTGGAGGAGGTGGTGGAGGTGGTGGGGGAGGTAGTGGGAAAGAGGTGGTGGGGGAAGAGGAGGTGGTGGTGGAGGAGGTGGTGGAGGTGGTGGAGGTGGTGGAGGAGGTGGTGGAGGAAGAGGAGGTGGTGGAGGAGGTGGTGGAGGTGGTGGGGGTGGTGGTGGTGGTGGAGGTGATGGAGGAGGTGGTGGAGGAGGTGGTGGAGGTGGTGGAGGTGGTGGAGGAGGTGGTGGTGGGGGAAGAGGAGGTGGTGGAGGTGGTGGAGGAGGTGGTGGAGGTGGTGGGGAAAGAGGTGGTGGGGGAAGAGGAGGTGGTGGTGGAGGAGGTGGTGGAGGTGGTGGAGGTGGTAGAGGAGGTGGTGGAGGAAGAGGAGGTGGTGGAGGAGGTGGAGGAGGTGGTGGGGGTGGTGGTGGTGGTGGAGGTGATGGAGGAGGTGGTGGAGGTGGTGGTGGGGGAAGAGGAGGTGGTGGAGGAGGTGGAGGTGGTGGGGGAAGAGGAGGTGGTGGAGGTGGTGGAGGAGGTGGTGGTGGAGGTGGTGGGGGTGGTGGTGGAGGTGGTGGAGGAGGTGGTGGATGAGGTGGGGGAAGAGGTGGGGGAAGGGGAGGGACGGGAGGGGCCAGCCTCACCCGGCTGTGCTGCTGTTGCCGTAGCGATGACCACGCGCCCTCAGAGTCGCCCATCAGAAACTCGGTCACACTGCGCACCATGATGATGGTGATGATGGTGATGATGGTGGTGATGGCGGTGACGATGGTGATAGCGGTGACGATGGTGATGGCGGTGACGATGGTGATGATGGTGATGGCGGTGACGATGGTTATGACGGTGATGATGGCAATGGTGATTACGGTGATGATGGCGGTGACGATGGTAATGACGGTGATGATGACGGTGGTGACGATGGTGATGGCGGTGATGATGGTGACGATGGTGATGATGGTGACGATGGTGATGATGGTGACGATGGTGACGATGGTGATTACGATGATGATGGCGATAACGATGGTAATGACGGTGATGGTGACCGGTGGTGACGATGGTGATGGCGATGACGATGGTGATGGCGGTGACGATGGTGATGGCGGTGACGATGGTGACGATGGTTATGACGGTGATGATGGCAATGGTTATGACGGTGATGATGGCGATGGTGATTACGATGATGATGGCGGTGACGATGGTAATGACGGTGATGATGACGGTGGTGACGATGGTGATGGCGGTGATGATGGTAACGATGGTGATGATGGTGACGATGGTGATGATGGTGACGATGGTGACGATGGTGATTACGATGATGATGGCGATGACGATGGTAATGAAGGTGATGGTGACCGGTGGTGACGATGGTGATGGCGGTGACGATGGTGACGATGGTGATGGCGGTGACGATGGTGACGATGGTTATGACGGTAATGATGGCGATGGTGATTACAGTGATGATGGCGATGGTGATTACGATGATGATGGCGGTGACGATGGTAATGACGGTGATGATGACGGTGGTGACGATGGTGATGGCGGTGATGATGGTGACGATGGTGACGATGGTGACGATGGTGACGATGGTTATGACGGTGATGATGGCGATGGTGATTACGATGATGATAATGACGGTGATGGTGATGGCGGTGACGATGGTGATGGCGGTGACGATGGTGATGGCGGTGACGATGGTGATGATGGTTATGACGGTGATGATGGCGATGGTGATTACGGTGATGATGGCGATGGTGATTACGATGATGATGGCAGTGACGATGGTAATGACGGTGATGATGACGGTGGTGACGATGGTAATGACGGTGACGATGATGGCGGTGACGATGGTAATGACGGTGACGATGATGGCGGTGATGATGGTGGTGACGATGGTGACAATGATGGCGATCGAGGCGATGGGAAGAGACACGGAGAGCTCGTTAACTCACACACACAAAGACAAAGAGCCCCCATATAGCCTGTAACAAACTGCTGGGGCAAGTGCTGTTAGCGAGTAGCAGCACCTATGAAGGCTTGAACGGCACACCAGGGGGTGGGTGGTAGGTGGCCAGCACCACGCGTACACACACACACACAAAGACAAAGATCCCACGTATAACCTTAACAGACTGCTGGGGCAAGTGCTGTTAGCGAGTAGCAGCACCTATGAAGGCTTGAACGGCACACCAGGGGGTGGGTGGTAGGTGGCCAGCACCACGCGTACACACACACACACAAAGACAAAGATCCCACGTATAACCTTAACAGACTGCTGGGGCAAGTGCTGTTAGCGAGTAGCAGCACCTATGAAGGCTTGAACGGCACACCAGGGGGTGGGTGGTAGGTGGCCAGCACCACGCGTACACACACACACACAAAGACAAAGATCCCACGTATAACCTTAACAGACTGCTGGGGCAAGTGCTGTTAGCGAGTAGCAGCACCTATGAAGGCTTGAACGGCACACCAGGGGGTGGGTGGTAGGTGGCCAGCACCACGCGTACACACACACACACAAAGACAAAGATCCCACGTATAACCTTAACAGACTGCTGGGGCAAGTGCTGTTAGCGAGTAGCAGCACCTATGAAGGCTTGAACGGCACACCAGGGGGTGGGTGGTAGGTGGCCAGCACCACGCGTACACACACACACACAAAGACAAAGATCCCACGTATAACCTTAACAGACTGCTGGGGCAAGTGCTGTTAGCGAGTAGCAGCACCTATGAAGGCTTGAACGGCACACCAGGGGGTGGGTGGTAGGTGGCCAGCACCACGCGTACACACACACACACAAAGACAAAGATCCCACGTATAACCTTAACAGACTGCTGGGGCAAGTGCTGTTAAGCGAGCACCTATAAAGGCCGGCACGGCACACGAAGGGGTGGGTGGCTAACACCACGCCTGCCCGCCTTTGTCTCCCTAGTGGCGATGTTTACACACCGCACCAGGTACTCATTTGAGGCTGAATCGACCTAGGTGAGGCCCAGGACCTGTTCAGACAATCGTCACCGGTGTTGGCCGTGAGCGGGAATCAATCTCTGGCTGCCGGGTTCGTAGTGCAGAGTAGCGCTAACTGCCATCACACTACCGCCTCCCCATGCATACAGACGCAAACACATGTACACACACACACTTGAACACACAGGCACACACACACACTTGAACACACAGACACACACACACGTGAACACACAGACACACACACACACTTGAACACACAGACACACACACATACTTGAACACACAGGACACACACAGACACACACACACGTGAACACACAGACACACACACACAGACACACACACAGACACAGACACAGACTTGAACACACAGACACACAGACACACACACACACACTTGAACACACAGACACAGACTTGAACACACAGACACACACACACACGTGAACACACAGGACACACACACACACACAGATCACACACACACACGTGAACACACAGACACACATACAGACACACACACAGACACACACACTTGAACACAGAGACACACACACGTGACCCAACAGACACACAACACACGTGAACACACAGACACACACACACACGTGAACACACAGACACACACACACACGTGAACACACAGACACACACACACACGTGAACACACAGACACACACAGACACACACACAGACACACACACACACACGTGAACACACACAGACACACATACAGACACACACACACACACCACAGACACACACACAGACACACACACACACTTGAACACACAGACACACAGACACACACTTGAACACACAGACACACAGACACACACGTGAACACACAGACACACACACTTGAACACACAGACACACACACACACACTTGAACACACAGACCACACACACTTGAATACACAGGACACACACACACACTTGAACACACAGACACACAGACACTTGAACACACAGACACACACACACAGACACACACACACAGACACACACACACAGACACACACACACAGACACACAGACACACACACACGTGAACACAACAGACACACACACACTTGAACACACAGACACACAACACACTTGAACACACAGACACACACACACAGACACACACACACACAGACACACACACACTTGAACACACAGACACACACACACACACACATGAACACACAGACACACACACGTGAACACACAGACACACACACACACACGCACGTACACACGTGCATACAGCAAGTCCTCGCTTGACGCGTGCGGATGGGGAGCGGCGGCGGTGCCGGTGGGACGTGTGCGGACGCACCTGTTGCTGAAAGCGAGGGCCAGCGAGTCCACCGACTGCATCATCCCCTGCTTCTGCTCGTCGGCGCCGATGCAGCGCTCGTACGGGTAGCCTGGGGGGAAGGGGGGGGGGGGTAGGCGAACGCGCGCAAGCGGCGCGGACGTCAAAACGCGCGAGGGTCGGACGCACGGCGGCAATCGCCGCTCTGGCTGGCGCACTTTCCATCGGGCCTGGGATCATCTGGCCGTGCGGACTTGCGCGCCGTCAGAGTCGCGCGCCGTCAGCCATACAAGAAGAAGAATAAGACAGAGACACACAGACTCACACAGAGAGCCATAGGCTCAGAGACACACAGACTCACACAGAGACCCATAGGCTCAGAGACAAATAGACTCACACAGAGACCCATAGGCTGAGAGACACACAGACTCACACAGAGACCCATAGGCTCAGAGACAAATAGACTCACACAGAGACCCATAGGCTGAGAGACACACAGATTCACACAGATACCCATAGGCTCAGAGACACACAGACTCACACGGAGAGCCATAGGCTTAGAGACACACAGACTCACATCGAGACCCAAAGACTCACACAGAGACACACAGACTCACACAGAGACCCATAGACTCACACAAAGTCACACAGATTCACACAGAGACCGATAGGTCAGAGACACAGACTCACACAGAGACCCATAGGCTCAGAGACACACAAACTCACACAGAGACCCATAGACTCACACAGAGACACATAGGCTCAGAGACAAAGACTCACACAGAGACCCATAGGCTCAGAGACAAACAGACTGACACAGAGACCCATAGACTCACACGGAGACCCATAGGCTCAGAGACCCATAAACTCACACACAGACCCACAGACCCGCACTGAGACCTATAGACTCAAACACAGACACAGAAACCCATTATCATCTCAGCAGCGACACTGATGCACCCACTGCACGCAATCACCTGGCTCATCGAACACCGCGTTGTTAAAAAAAAAAAAACTGCTGTTGCCACCCTACATCAACAGCCACAGCAACAGAAGAAGAAGATTTATTTCCGTTTTTATTTTCGCTATGTTTATTATTTACCAAGCCATCCACCTCTGCCCCCCACCACCCCCCCCCCCCCCCACTTCCACCACCCCCACCCACCCCCTCTTCTTCCTCGCCACCCACGAAGGAACCCGTTGGCTCGAGGGACGTCGCAGGACAAATCCGAGGAGCGTCGCTCTGGCTCCGGTCGGAACTAAAATTAAACTATTTTAAATTTGTCCAGGTATTTAGAGGCCCATGGAGGCCCATTCTAAAACTAAACTATGTTTTATTTTGACCAGGTATTGAGGCTCAATGAGGCCCATTCTAAAACTAAACTATTTTTAATTTGACCAGGTATTTAGAGACACATTAAGGCCCGTTCTAAAACTAAACTATGTTTTATATGACCAGTTATTTAGAGACACATTAAGGCCCATTCTAAAACGAAACTATTTTAATTTGACCAGGAATTTAGGCCCATCGAGGCCCATTCTAGAACTAAACTATTTTTAATTTGAACCAGGTATTTAGGCCCATCAGGGCCCATTCTAAAACTAAACTATGTTTTATATGACCAGGTATTTAGGCCCATCAGGGCCCATTCTAAAACTAAACTATTTTTATTTGACCAGGTATTTAGGCCCATCAGGACCCATTCTAAAACTAAACTATTTTTATTTGACCAGGTATTTAGGCCCATCAGGACCCATTATAAAAATAAACAATTTTTAATTTGACCAGGTATTTAGCCCCATCAGGGCCCATTCTAGAACTAAACTATTTTAATTTGACCAGGTATTTAGGTCCATTGAGGCCCGTTCTAAAAAACTAAACTATGTTTTATATGACCAGGTATTTAGGCTCATTGAAACCCGTTCTAAAACTAAACTATTTTTAATTTCACCAGGTATTTAGGCCCATCAGGACCCATTCTAAAACTAAACTATGTTTTATATGACCAGGTATTTAGGCTCATTAGGCCCATTCTAAAACTAAACTATTTTTAATTTGACCAGGTAGTTAGGCCCATCAGGGCCATTTAAAACTAAACTATTTTTAATTTGACCAGGTATTTAGGCCCATCAAGGCCCATTCTAGAACTAAACTATTTTTAATTTGATCAAGGTATAGGAGTCTTAAAAAATGGTGATAATTTAGCAAAACAGAGCAATTACGGTACCGTACTCTATAAACTATATAATGTATTATTAATTACAGGGGTGACCGTTACCTTGACCCTGGTGATGAGGGCGCCGGTGGCGGTGAGTATCTCCCGCAAGCTCAGCGCCGGGTGCAGGGGCCAGCGTGCGCTGAGCGCAAGCAGCAGATCGCAGAGGCGGTGCGTGACGGCCTGCCGGCCTGCCCTCCTCGCCCCCCCGCGTCTGTCAACGAGACACAAGAGAGGCAGAGGTGTCCCCCCGGGGTAGACCTTTAGCAAGCCGCTGGGGCAAGTGCTGTAATAAACAACGACAAAGGATGGGGGGGGGGGGGGAAATTAAGACGAGGTTTTTTTTTTTTACATCTCTGGCGGATACAACGGGAGGTGATGAGCAGAGGTCGCAACCGGGTGATACCGTACCCTACCCGATATCCGGCTACCCTTACCCGGTCGGGTACGGGTAGGCCGTGAGTCACTGGTGAGTAACTGTTTGTTACTCATTTCCCAACGTCTTGTGTTCTTCTTACAATTCAAGTTCCTAGAATCAACCCACCCGCGCCTGCAACATGGCTTCATCCCAGAGGTCGCAATCGGGTACCCGATACCCGTACCCTACCCGATACCCGGCTACCCGTACCCGGCCAGGTACGGGTAGCCGTTTGTGACCCTGGTGCGGCCGGGTCCGGGTAGGCCGTGAGTCACTGGTGAGTCACCGTTTGTCACTCATTTCCCAACGTTGTCTCTTCTCACAATTAAAGTTCCTAGAATCAACCCACCCGCGCCTGCAACATGGCTTCATCCCAGAGGTCGCAATCGGGTAGGGTACGGGTACCCGTTTGGGACCCTGGTGTGGCCGGGTATGGGTAAGGAATCAAAACCCATATAGCCTTAACAGACTGTAGGGGCAAGTGCTGTTAGCGAGCACCTATGAAGGCCGGAATGGTACACGAGGGGGTGGGTGGCCAGCGCCACCTTTATCTCCCTAGTGGCGATGTTTAGACACCGCACCAGGTACTCATTTGAGGCTGAGTCGACCTAGGGGAGACCCAGGACCGGTTCAGATAATCGTCACTGGTGTTTGCCGTGAGCGGGAATCGAACCCGCGTCGCACAGGTTCATAGTGCAGCGCGCTAACGCTACACCACG